CTAAACAATGCTCTGCATTTATGCAGGCATCAGAAACATGCATCAGCATGTTAGTTAGACATTTCAGATTGACATAAATACACCGGAAAACTTATAATGTATATTTTCTACACTGTAATTCCAGAAACCATCAGAGAGAAGACAAAAAAAGGAGTAATAAAAGCATGTTAATTTATTTGATGAAGTCAAGTAAGAAGCAGAATTTATAATATTTTTTTCCATGAATACTTAAAGTACACTCTAACAAACTTCTTACGAAGACTGATCAAATAGCTCACATGCATTGTTGCCAACAACATAACTTATCATAATCCTATGATATTTTGTACTCTACCCAAATGCATTATTTTCCAAAAAGAGTTATAAGCTTTTAAAGCACTTCTGGCCCACTTACATCTAAAGATTTTTCAAGTGATGGTAAAATGAATTGCTTTAAAATTTTATGGTTAAACAACAAAAGGGCCATCTGGAAATTGACTCAGATGTTTTAGAGATGCTTTTTTCTTTTTTTTTTTTTTTCCTCTGAGGGAGAACAAGCTAAGTTTTCAAATACACAGTGAACATCAGTGGTATAAGGAAAACACCAAACTTAATACAGGTGACCAAAACATAGACATTCCCAAAGTAGCAATATAGTACATCTATGAGGATTTCATCACATCTTTACAAACATAAGAGCTATATTTTTATTTCCATACAAACTCAGATTCTTTATAACCTCAAGTTTTCATTTGTTACAGAGAAGCACTACAAGTTTACCTGCAGTAGCTTAAAAAGTTCCCCCCGAAGTTGCTTTTCATCTAAATCCTTGATGTTTTTAAGAAGTTCCTGAAAGTAAGTGCATAAAGCAATAATAGCCTCTTGGGATTCGAAGAAATTTTGAGTCTTTCCTTCCTTAAATACGTCAAAGCTGCCAATAGGTGGGCTAAAAATAAAAAGAGAATGAATGTATAAACATACTTTCCACAATTTCTATGACAGAACTTGAAACATTTGAAACGGAAAGGTCACAGCTCAGCTTTTTTAAGCCACAGTGAGGGCTCCTGCTAGATTTTTCCAGTTTCAACTCATCATGCTGGATTCTTGCATATCTTAATAAAAACTTGATAACATATCTTACTGGAACAAATAGCATACAGGACATCTTGAAATTATTAGCAACATATTCTGAAAATGAACAAGTGTTCTATCACAGCTGCACACACTGTAACAATTATGAACTCCATTTTTTGTACACAGATGGATAAAACTATAAAATATAAGTGAAAAAGCACAGTGAGTTCACATGCACAGTTAATTGTGGGCCCATTTTTAATTGGATTTTTGCCTACTGAAGCGCATCTCCCATACCAAAGTCTCTTACAGTGGTTAGTAATTCTTATGAAAGCTTTTAACTAAGACTTCAGAAAATTAACATGACAAAGTTGACAAAATAATTCAGCTCCTGTAATATATTAGAAATAACAACCTAAAGTAAGAACCGTATTTGCAGTTGTACTTTTTGACAAATGATTGAACCACATCCTTAAGAGCAGACAAATAATAAAGATCAAGAAATGTAAAGCTTACTAAGGAAAAATGTTTGTTTTAAGAGCAATCCAGAAGATTTTTTTGCTACAAGATTTCAAATTGTGCAATATACCAGTAGAAACAATGAAATCCATTACTGTGTTTCTGTCTCCATAATGCTAAGGACAATTCCACAGTGCACAAAGCCTTTGACCTTAAACATGTTAACTCCTATCCCTTTACATTGTATTGGCACCTCTCCATAGTACCAGCACAACAAACTGCTGCCAAGTTATATTTAACCAGGAGCAGCTCCTTAAGTTGATGCAGCACGTGGGCTGCAAACACAACTAGAACTAAGATGAACAACAGGGGCTATTGAAGCTGGGTGTTCTGCTGTAAGAACTTCAGATTTCCAGCAGTAGCAAAACAAGTTAGAATGCCCAACAGATTGGTAAGTTAACATATACCTCAAGACACAATTCTAGACTTTTAGAAGTACTAAATAACTTCTAAGATCTCACTACACAGTAGTCTGCAAGGTCAAGCCAAACAGTCAAACTTGAGAGACTTCATAGAAACTAAGTCAAAGAAACTGAGGCATAATCTACTGAATGAAAGTAGAAAACACTGATTTTAAATCTGAGGTGTGAGACAGTGGGAAATTAATATAGTAAAAGCTTAAAATTCTGAGTCATCTTACTTCCTATAGTCTTTCTTTCTCCCAAAATAAAAATGGGAAACAATACTGTTTTGCAGAGTAAGACACCAAACTAAATACTTACTTCTGTGCTAATGCTGAATGAATTCTTCGATACATGTAACACTCTACAAATAACCAAGGAGACTGAAACCAACTTGGTTCTCCATTTCCATTTAATAGATTACGTTGGTAGTCTAGGTATTGGTTCCACAGGGCAGCATCGGGCAGCTCATCTTCTAGAGGAGTCACAGGTTTGTCTGTTTGCAGTTCATTCCGTAATTTGGAAAGGAAGGATATAGCTCTCTTCTCTGCTTCAACACCCTTCTGAAATAAGCAAAGAACAAAAGTTCCTATTCTGAACATTTATTCCTACAGCAACATAGTGCAATCTTTCAGGAAATCAGTTAGTGATAAGCCTTAGCCGCCACACACAAGTCCCAGAACAACTCAGAGCTTGATTCAGCCAAACACATTTGGGTGAATGACATTCATTTTATGCATAACATCCCAAAATGAATCACACATTGGACTTCTTTTTAGATTGGACCTTATGGATAATAAAGGGGAACAGAAAACACGAAGGCACAGAAGGGATCTCCAATAGTTAGGGAAAAGCAAAATCCCAGGCAAGCAGAAACCTTATTGTTACCTCACCATGTTCTTCAAAGAACTCATTTTTGTGTCGATGCAGAGTGTCAATAACTTTTGTGAGGATCTGGGGTAGTCGGTCTTTAACTGTAAAGTACGCAAAGGATCTAAAAAGGAAAGTATCAAAATTTTATTACTGAAATGATGAAATATCTATTATTTCTTAAATAGACAGTACACTTTTTTAAAATAGCCTGGTCTTGAAAGTCAGTTTCTGCATACATAAAACAGCTGACAGCAATGAGAAAAAAAAAAATCTTTAAGAATCATCTGCATGTGGTGCTCAGGGACATGATTTAGCAGAGGGTTGTTAGAGTTAAGGTAGTATGGTTAAGTTGTGATTTGACTTGATGATATTTAAGGTCTTTTCCAACCTGAGTGACTCTGTGATTCTATGACTGGCCCTGCCAAAGGGACACAAACAAGGGCTAACTCCAGGCTAAAAACGCATTCCCCAGTTGCTGTTACCAGATATAAAGACATAAAACTAAAAGCACAGATTAAGCTTAGGTATGTTTGGTATTAGTAACCTTAACTACAGCAAAATCCACACTGCTCGCTTTTCAATATACAAATATATATGAATTATTCACAATTACACATGGAATTAAATTATTTTATATAAATATATATATATATATAATTTATATAGAAATTGAGCGATTTACCATTATGGTTTTTTTTTTTTTTTTTTTTTTTT